CGGTCCAGGAGGCGCAGTGGGCCTGGAGCCAGGAGTGCCGTCCCTGGGGGGCATCTTCTGCCCGTTGACGGGGCTCCCCCCACCACCTCGCCTCGGATCAGGGGCCTGTGGCCTCAGCACTGTGCTGCCCGATCCCCACAGGGCCTCCTGGGATCTGTGCTGATGAGTAAGATTCCACACGCGGGAAGGGAAAGCTCAGGGGGCCGCCTCCTCTCCCTGACACCTACCCTGATGGGTCTTCTGCCCCCACCTCCAGAACGCACTGTCAGGGCGTCTCCGTTTACCTTGCACTGGGTTTTCCATTCCTTTTCACTTGCTCCAAAAGGAATTCACTGAAAATTAACCAGATCCAAAAGTCAAAAATGGAGAAAAGCCAGAGAGCTCCGCTAGCCTGAGGCTTGAGAGGGCAGCGGGCGGGGTCCCTGCCCTGGGCGCCCGGGCCCGCCCTGCGTGACAGTCAGGATGGCGCTCAAAATTACTCTCGCAGGCATCGGGGTTTACAGCAGGACGCTACGTGTTTCAGGCCCATGAGCGCGTGTTTGAGTCTGTATTCCTTCGGAATGTTGAGCCCTTCAAGGTCAGAGGTCACGGGGTACCCTTGGCATCCCTAGTATCTGTCCTCCCTCCTGGTGCAGAGCGGCCCTTCCGTGTTTGTAGAACGAATAACAAATAGCTGGATGGTCCCCCCACGTCTCTCCAGCCTTTATATTTGGGCCACAGAGACCCTACGAGAATTTCGTGATGAAAGGAATTATCATCTAGTGTTTGTAGGCTGACCGGAGGTGGCCCTGGAATTTTCCAGTGAACTAGGTCACCGAGAGAGCCTGGGCCACAGATGGCATGCTCTGAAGAGATAAAACTGAGGGCGTGGTCCTTTGCACAAATTCTGAAATTGCAGCTGTTTCTCAGATTGGCCATGTGTAGAGTTGCTGGATTTAGCAAATAAAAATACAGGATGCCCACTTAAACTTGAACGTCAGACACATCTGTTACTGTAAGGGTAATTTTTTTATTATAATTATGTTCAATGCGAGGCTCAGAGAGGGAGGCGGGACTCCGGGGGGCGGGGGGCCAGAAACCCCATCTCCTGGCCCCAGGGAGGCAGGGGGAAAATATGAATGCTTTTACTCCAGTACAAATTTACCTTTAAAACCCACAGCCCGCAGCCAGGCTGCTGCAGTGCCAGGGCCTGTGGATGGCCTTCTAAGGAAGGCGGGTCTGGGGGACCAGAGCACGGCCAGCGCCCCTTCACAGAGCGTCCATCAGCAGAAGTCCGTTGTCCCTCCCCTCCTTCCCCTGAAGGCTGGCTTTGTGCAGGGACGTGGCCGAGCCGGTCCGGGTACCATGCTTGGCAGATGTCCCTTTGAAAGCGTTTTCTGTTCCTTTCTTGGGAGAGGCCCAGCGTAGAGAAGATTTATGTCACCTCTGTCTCCTCAGCAGGGAGAGACGGGGACCAGGAAGGCTCCCCTCTCCGCCGAGCAATTCTGCTATGGGGGGAAGGGGGAGTACAGTGAGGTCCCCAGAGAACGGTGCCCCCGTGTCCACAACAGCCCATGCCCTCCTAAACCCCTCCATGAGGTGACCCCAACACTGAGGGACAGGACCTGTGGGCTGGGGCACCATCCTGGCTTCCGACAGCAGCTGGTCCCACAGTAATGATGGTAACTTACGCATTCTTTTATTCAAAGCATCGCTGTTAAGGCGATACAGTTTAAAAGTACCAAAAAGTAACAAACACCCGTAGGCCCACTGACCAGGATAGATCATTTAAGCAACATTTCATCATGTTCGCTCATGTTTTCTCGTAATAAAATATTACAGGCAATATTGGTCTCCTTTGTCTCTACATCCCTTTTTCCCAGAGGCACCTGCTACTGTGAACCTGGCTTATATATTCGCGATCCATGTTTATACTTTTACTCCCATGCATGTGGATCCATGCATAATATGTAGTATCATTCTGTAGGCATGTTTTTAATTTCAGGAACTGTATCTGGGTTTATTTTGTGACTTGTTCCCCCTTCCCTGCCCCCAGAAACCGTTTGTCCGGTAGTGTGAGAGCCTTCTGGCAGCTCCTGTCTATAAGGCAGTTAGTTTATGTTAATTTGCCCATTTTTAAATGGGAAACCTGAGCCCCAGAGAGGCTAAGGAACCGCCCCAGATCGTACATCAAGGACATGTTAGCTCTGGGGCCAAATCTCGTCGTGCCCTCAGGACTCCTGGCTGATGGTCCTAGAATTCATTCATTTTCCGAATATCTTTTGAGTGTCTGTGCTGTTCGAGGCACTGGGGACACTGTGGGAAATAGAGTGGAGGTCTCTGCCTCCCCGGAAGTCATGGTCAGGAAACACAGCCTTTATAGATAACACTGACCTTGAACATTGGCCATAGGTCCATTATGTCCTGGTGTCCCCCTCTTCAACAAGCCGACGAGTATTTTTCTGAGCTTGACGTGATCGAGGCCCCCACACCACACCACTGCGACTGTCAGTGTCTAACTCAGCAAGAGGAAACTTGTTTTCTTGTTCTGCCTCCTCGGGCCACACTCTTCTCTGCATGGTGGCCCTTCCAGCGTCTGAAGTTAGGGGGCGTACCCCCACATCTCCTCTCCGCCAAGGATTCCATTCTCAGGGGACCAGTGACTGTACCTGCCCACTGGTGTGAGAAGAGCCACTTGCCACCCAGAGGACGTCTCCCAAACTGGCTTAGAAGTAGACAGAGGCTGGCCGGAGGGCCTTCCAGATGCTTCTCTCAGCATCTGTTTCCGAGGTGACCGCAGCCTCTGTTCTCATGACGGAATCAGGGCTGACCTTGGTGTTCGCTTTCCGTTCGTGCAGCAATGGGGGCTTTGGGAGTTAGAACCTCTCCACTGGGGAGTTCGTCCCTGTGCCCCGGGAGCTCTGAAATGTTCGTGCCCCTGGCACAGATGTTCTGTGTGGGAGTCTGCTCCCAAATAAAAATGCGCGTGCGAGCATGTACGCACACCCAGATGGATGCAGAAGGATGCTTATCAGTGCGTTATCTGTAACAGGAAAAATCGAAATTCCTAAATCTCCAGTTCTAGGGGAAATGGTTAAATTATGGTTTGTATTTATGATAGAATATTATGCAACAGTTAAAATGGTATTTTGATGGACTTTTTATACAGGAATATCAAATTCCATGTTTAAACTTGTTTCTCTCACACACACACTCAGAAAAAAAATTTCAAAAGAAAAACATTAAAGTGTTAACAGTGATTATGCCAAAGTGGTGGAATTAGGATTCTAATTTTTTCCCTTATCTTCTTTTATATTTTCTTCATGTTCTATGCTGAGCATATATTACTCTTAAAAATTAGAAGAAAATCAGAGGTGTTTTACGACCCATGCTGTCGCGGAGGGGGCTGGCGTCTAGAGAGGGAGGGTCCGTGAGCCCTGGGGAGTAGCCAGCTAGCTGCCCTGTGCCTTAATGCTTCCATCTGCAAGACGGGCATGAGGGTGTCTGCCTCCCGAGGCTGCTGCGCATACTAATTTTAGTAGATTCAAATATACACTGTCAGAGCCCGGTTCAGAGGCCCTCTGCATGTTAGTTTTGTCTTCGCGCGGGGTGGCTTGGCCAGGCAGAGGTCCCTCTGGACGGCGGTTCTTCCCAAGCCCCCCGGACTCCGGTTAATTCTCTCTCTGTCCTCCTTCCCAGCTGCCCATGATGGGAGGAGCCTTCATGGACTCGCCCAATGAGGACTTCAGCACGGAGTACTCCCTCTTCAACTCCTCCCCCAACGTCCACGCGGCCTCCGGCGGCCAGGGCCAGCCCGAGGAGCCCCCGCGGTCCTCCAACGACGCAGTCTTGCTCTGGATAGCCATCATAGCGACGCTGGGGAACATCGTGGTGGTGGGGGTGGTGTACGCCTTCACCTTCTGAGGCTCCAGGACGCTCCCCCTGTGCAGGGCCCGCAGCGGGTGAGGCTTTGCGCGGGCCACCGTCGCTGTGGGCCTGTGGCTGCGCCCACGGTCCAGACCCAGGAGCTCCAGCCATGCACACGGCCTCTCCAGGGGCAGTGACCCTGCGTCTGGAACATCCCCACACAGCCCTAACTTAAATCTGCCGTGCTGTGGTTGAGCCGATCCAGAAAACATGGGAGCATGAGCTTCTGGCCCCTGGAGGTGGGCAGGGCAAAGCCTTCAGGCGCGAGTTAGGGAATTCTGGAAACTGTTTTCCAAGAACAAGAGATGGACGGAACCAGCCAGCTCGATTCAAGATGCCCACGTGGCTGGACGGGCGGTCGCTGGCAGTAAATAATCACTTCTGTGTCTTGCTTCCATACAGACTTATCACACCTGGTGTGTTGGGTGTCGGGGCCAGAGCCCCCGCAGAATGTGAGTGCTCCCCGCCCAATCTCAGACCCTTGGAATGTTGGTGGTGGTCGCTTGAAGGGCCCTAGAAGATTTGACTTTAAAAAATGGCACCTTTGTCGCCAGACACCTCGGCGCCTGATGAGACCCAAAAGCATCAGAAAAGCCGAGAATGGGGGGATTACTGGTGACATGGTGAGGTTTCCGGGGTGGTTTCCATCTGCCGGATGCACTTCCTCTTCTTTTTACAAAGAGAAGTTACCTTTAAAAGTTAGATCTGACAAGGCGTTTATTCCTCAGACTGCCCACAAGAAGATGCTCTTTGTTATCTGGAAAATCACAGAATTTTAGGGATCAATGAAGGCTCGTGTCCACCTAATCGTTTGACGGATGGGCGGGACAGTGGTGAGCTCTGCCTGTGGTCGCCGGGCACGTTAATGAAGGGGCCAGATCAGAGGGGACGTTTGCTGACTTGGCTCAGGGCTCTCTCAGCCCCGTTTCCAGCAGACACCACCTCGTCAGCTGCCCTCGGGAGACGATGCAGAGTCCTGAACGGGCGCACACACCTGCATTTAAACGTGGTTAGGCTACTGGGTGCTCTTGTGGGCCCGAGTGTGCTCGGCCCAAGTCAGTTTCCCTACGTTCTTAGAAGTCCGTGGCTGGGGGACCTGGCAAACGAGGGAGCCCCCACATGAAGGCCAGAGCGAGATGGGAAAGGGCTTGCTTCTCTACAGAACTTAGGAAGAGATCATTGCAGGTGGGGAGGCAGCCTCCCTGTGTGACGAGTCTGAGAGTGCAAAGGGTCTGTCCCCCTGGGAAACTTCCCTCGCCCCCCCCCGTCAGCTGTGGTTGAGAGACTCGAAAGACTGGTTAAGAAGCCCCTGTGCATGTTTGGGGACATTGGCAAAAAGGCTGAATTTGTCACTGTGGTCTCAGGAGAAATGAGTGTTCGCGACGACAGGCAAAGGGGCATCGTAATTGTCAGGCGGCAGCCGTGCGCCTCTGGGTGGTTGGCACTGAGCTGCCGTGATAACAGGATTTCCAGCCCGACATCCAGACAGCGCCGGCAGATGGCCGCCAGCTCTTATTGGTCACATCTGTCACCGCAGCCACGCATCATTCCTCAAGTGCTTCAGCTCAAGCGGAGGTCAGGAGCACAGAGGACAGGCGTGACGTTGCAGGCGGGGAGAAGGGACGGGGACGTGATGCCTTCTGGAATCACAGATGCGGTCCGCTCTCGAGGTCGGGCTGGCTCCTTAGCCATTGCATGGCCGTCATCCCAGCACCCTCCTCCCTGTCCAGGCCCCCGTGTCTGCCGCATGAGCAAGGTCCGTCTGAGACAGAGCCCAAGGAGGGAGGCCAGAGCCAGGGGGACAAGGCGATGCTTGGTGTCTTCGTGGGGCCACTCGGGCCACATCCTCTGATTCCTTACCTTAGACCACACATCCCCAGGGCCGCCTGCAGCCCCGTCAGAGGCAGGTGGCAGCTCCCTGTTCTCAAATGGCCTGTGGAGACGGCAGTGCCCCGGGCGAGGGTTCTGTGTGGCTGTGATGGGGGAGGGAGAAAGGATGGCTTCTCTCTCCGAGGACTCCAGCCTCCCAGGCTGCCCGAGGGGCCGGTGTTCATGGGCACTTCTGGGCACAGGTCTCCCCCAGGAATGTCAGTTAAAGTCACCTTTCCAGTCTTTTTTTTCACGCCAGGGCCATAGGTGGTCAGGAGCGGGACCATCTGGCCCAGGCTTGGCGTGCAGATCACAGTGGTTTGCTTGGGGTCATTCCATCTCGACTTCCTATGATTTCGTCATTGATTTTTTCCCCACCATTATTCAGATGACAATGAGGATAGATGTGCGTGTTCAATTTCCAGCCGGAGCGTTATGCTCTCTCCGTCCTGACTGAGTTGGGGTTCTGTCTTAACTCTTAGGTGAAAGACAAAGAGATCTGACATCATCGGTTGAGTCTTAGGTCCAGGCTCCTTGCTAGATTCATGTGCACGTATTTGAACTTGACAGCATCGTTGTTCCAATACACAGATGAGGTGGAGAGGGCGGTGCGCAATAAACAGCAGCGGAAGAATCATTACTAATAATTCAAAGCCCAGAGAGGTGGAGAAACATGCCCGAGGCTACACAGCATGAAAGTGATGAGCATGGACTTGAACCTGGACCGTCCAGCTCTACGGCCGGGCTCCTTCTGCAGTAGCATGCTGCTCAGTAGTCGGCACATGTAAGCCAGGCCCTGAGTCCGCGGAGCCCGTTTCCCAAAGTCCCCAGTCATCGTGTGGCCCCCTCTGGCTCCCACAGGTAGAAGTCTCTGGCTCTTCTTGGAATGGGGCACCCCCGTCCCCTTGCCTGACGCCCTCTTTCTGCCCAGGCTTTAGGGCGGGGGTCCCTGTCACTGCCTGCCCCTTTAAAGCTGAGCACAAGTCCTTTTGTGTGGCCAGGGAAGTGCCCAGAGACCAGCTGTTTCAGGACACATGCAGAGAGGGGTCCCACAGAGGACCCAAGGACTGAGGCTCGTG